ACCTGAGGGAAACATGGGGTGAGAAGAGATGGGCTTGAGGACCCAGCCCCCTAAGGAGCGGGCAGAGAACAGGGAGAGGCAGAGCCAGAAAGGAACAGCACGGAGGCTCACAGGGATGGGGACAGAGCCAGATTCAGGAGGCAAGAGATGGCTGGTGTCTGCTCCAACAGAGCCAGCAGCCAGGTAAGGGCTGAGCTTTCTGGAATGAGGAGACCCCGTGCAGCTAAGAAAAAGGTTCTTGTTGTGATGAGGAACATCTGTAGAGGCAGAGAGGTTGCTTGGTTGCTTAGACTTCAGCTTTTGGAGTGTGTGGAGAACTAACCAAGGTCTCCTACTGGTGAGGGGAAGACTTTCCCAGAAGCCTCTCTTTTCTGCTGCTGTGTCCAGGAGGTTGATTTGCTTTGGAGATACATTTTCTAGTTCATTGTCTTCATCTGGACAAGAGAACACTTCTCAGATTCATCCTTGGTGGGCTCAGACAGGCAGAGGCTGTGCCCACTGCCTTGCAGAGCAAAAGCACATGAAATCATGGCCTAACAAGGCTCCTGGGGCCCCTCCAGTTCACAAGCACCCCACACACACCCCTCCCTGGTTCCCTGTCAGTTGATGCCGGTCGTGCTCTTCCTAGGGTCTATCTTGGAAATCTTGGGACTCTGCCCATCTCTCTCTGGCCTTGTCTCCTTCCCTCCTAGGCCATTTCCACTGGTTCCACTCTGGAAGTCACATATCTGTCCCTGGTACCACACTAAGTGCGCCTGAGTCCTGCTAGGCCTGTTCTGACCCATCTACCTCAGATGGTACCTGCCCTCTGCCTCTCCTCACAGAAGTATTTCCTGTGGTTTACCACCTCACACATTGTACTTCATTTTCTCACCAGCCAGCTCCTCATCCCTCCTCCCCCTTGGCACTTGTTGTAAACATGATTAACGGTTCCTTTCTTGTCTTCTGTGTTCAAGGCCTCACCACTGACCGACGTCGTCTTGTCCCCGCGTCCCAGAAGAGCATCCAGTGGACACCCACTCATGTCAGTGAGAGGCCGATTCTGGAGGGGAAGGTTGGCTCATCTCTATGACTGTCCCTGCACGGTAGCTTTCCGTCACCAGACAGGTCCTGACTGGGTTGTCGATGGGTCCTTGCTTGCTAAACCTGGGCTTGCAAACAGGCCTCTCTGTCCACTTCCTCTGGAAACTCATGAGACGATGACCCTATGCATCAGGACAGAGAGGATGCACCAGCAGATGAGGCATGTTGGCCTACTCTGAAGGGTGGAAGGAGCTAGATCAGGGACAGCTGTCTTGGCTGGGGCATACACCTGCAGATGGTACCAAAGAGCGGGTGGAGAAGGGTTCAGGACCCAGAGTGGCAGCAGGTGTGGAAGCAGCCTTGTTCACAGGCAGAGGCTTGCAGCCTGCCCCCTGCCGCTGTGTCCAGTCTGTCTGTCTGCTCCCCATCCTCTGTCTCTGACTGCAAAGCCATTCCAGGCAGTCACTCCCTGCTGAGGTCCCTGTGGACCTCAGCTGATACTTGGTGGAACACAGCACACAGCGGGCTGATGTAGTGGTCAGTCCTGTGTGTCCGTTTCCTGCTGCCCAGGTCACTGGCCACACCTCCGTGGTGTCCTCTCAGACCTATGGATGCTTCCTCTCTGCCTTTATGCCTGGCTAGCAGCTCAGCTCACTGGAGAAAATGGAAGTCCTCAGAACATCATCTCTACCTCCACATCCGCAACCGGAAACTATCTGCCCATGGGCTGCACCCTCCTATCTGTGAACAGCTGAAGGGTCCTTGTTCTGGCCCAAGGCCTGCCCTAAGACCACTCGTCTCCTGCCATTTTCAGGGGTCTGAGTCTTGCTGTCACTGTTCTCTTGACTGTACAAAACAGGTATCTTCCATCTTTAAGTCCCGTCTCCCTGGCCCCACAGAAACCCAATGCAGCCTCATTCTCATAGCTCCTTCCTCTTAGAAACAGTTACCTGTCTGCAGTCTCATCACCTTCCCAGAGATCTGCTGGAATTTCCTCTTTCTTATTGAACAACTTCTGGCATTCTTTAGTTAAATACCCATAGAGAAGAAGACCCATGATGTCTGTCTACACTTTAACATTGGTGTGCTCCAGAGCCTCTGAGGGCTGCCCACGTGCCTCTCCCTCCTGTCCACCCACTCCACCTCTCCTGGCAACCAGGAGCCACATTCCCCGTCCATCATTACTGTGCTTTATACCACATGTAGGCGCTGTGGGTTCATGCGCTGCACTGCAAAGCCGGTTTGAACCCGTCGGCAGCTCAAGCTCACCAGCTGCTTCTGGGAGATCCTATATGGGTCAGAACCGACTCGACGGCACTTCACAACCACAACAAATGACTGTGTGTGCCATTTCCTTGATACAAACTTCTCTCTCTCTGTATATATATATATATATGGTGGTGGCTGTGTGCCGTGGAGTCGGTTCCAACTCATAGTGACCCTGTATAGGGTTTCTGAGTGACTGGTGAGCTTGAATCATTGACCTTGCGGTTCAAATCTATTATGCACCCCAGTGCCATGCCAGGACACACACACACACTCACTCTCTCTCACACATATCTATGGAGCTCTGGTAGCATAGTGGTTACGAATTGGGCTGCTAACCTCAAGGTCAGCAGTTCAAAACTACCAGCCGTTCCGCAGGGTGATGCTTTCTGCTCCTGTAAAGATTTGCAGCCTTGGAAACCCTGTACAGGGTCGCTATGAGTCGGAACCGACTCCATAGCACATAAACCACCACATATATAAGCTATGAGTCAGAACTGACTCCACGGCACACAACAACAACAACATAAGCTGAACTGGTTTTCCTCCTCTAGGGAATCCAGTCAAAGAGTGCAAGAAAGAAAGCAGGTGAAATTAATTTTAATAATGTAGTTTATTTAACCCAACATGTATAAAATGTTACCACATCAACATATAACCAGTATCAATATTGCATTATGTTTTCATACAAAGTCTTGGAACATCTGGTATATAGCTTACACTTATAGCACATCTCAAGTTTCATTAGAAATATTTGATCCATATTTACATTTCATAAAATGTATCATTAAAAAGGTACATTTGCATACTCAAGTAGATTCCCAACACACGCAAGCATCTTCTAATAACTGCTTAAGTCCTGGAAGTCCCCTGCTTTCTCCAGAGACTTACGTTTGCTTCAGTCCTGCCCAGCACTGTGTACCCTTCAGCACCTCTGGTTGACTTGACCCTTACATCTTTCCACCAGTAGTCACATGCTAACCAATTACACCAAGTGCTTCATGGCCGCCACCTCCTCCCTGGGCACAACACAGTCCAGGGTTTACGGAACTTGCAAAGTATAATCACACTATGCAATAATCTTAAAACAGAAAAAGTCAAGATGTTCACTTCCCAAAAGGAAATAAAACGGGGAAAAAACCGGAGATGACAAAAAGTGATTTTCTAAGTTATAAAGCTATCACCGGAGTTCTGGTGTGGCACTGTAGGATAAGCATTCGACCTCAAGGTCAGTTTGAACTGCAAAGTTGGAGGTTCAAGCTCACCAGCTGCTCCTAGGAAACCCTAAAACAGGGTTGCTACAAGTTGGAACTGACATGACGGTACTAAGCAACAAGCTATACCCCCACCAACGCCCATCTGCCCATCTGTTGTACTGTGGTGGCTTGGGTGCTGCTTGTGATGCTGGAAGCTATGCCAGTGGTATTTCAAATGTCGGCAAGGCCACCCATGGTCACCACAGGTTCCAGCAAAGCTTCCATACTGAGAGACTAAGAAGAAAGGCCTGGCAATCCGTTTCCAACAATCAGCCAGTGGAAACCCCACAGATCAACAGAGAACATTTTCTAACTTGCTGGCTTTGGACATCGAGTCTGCTGAGGTAGACGGTCAGCACCGGCCCAGGAGTGAGCTGCATTAAGCCGCAGTGCTGGCTCACAGACACGCTGGTGAGGACGTTTCCTTCTGAGGTGGCCAGGAGTTGCGGTCCACTTGAAGGCAGCTGATGACAACAACGTTACAAACACAACAGCAGAGCTTCCCCGGACTGAAGCAACCCGAGCAGAGGGCTGAGAGACATGAGACAGTTTGTAGTGGCACCCCTTTGGGCTCGTCTCCGGTTATAGGACTGTGGGCATCAACCCCCTTGTGATAATAACAGTTATTCCCTGGGCCATCTTCTGTGGAGGTGACACAGTCTTAAATCCTTGTGTAAGGAGATGAAATTAGCATTGTTTAACTGTTGTATAGGTGAATTAAAATAGAAAAGAACTAAGATTTTTCTTCTCCTTTTCCATCCAGCAAGCAAAGATCACTGGTGTTAACTCCTCCACAAGGGCCAAAGCCGGGACTGACCTATACCTCAAAGGGTGCAGGCCTTGGCCTCCAGGGGTCTGTGAAAGGATGTGTTCCACAATTCCACTCATCCATCCAGCTTTGCATCTGAGGCGGCCTGACGCCCATGTGTGTGTATGTGTGAGTGCAGGGCATAATCAACCTGAGTAGTGCAGGGCTCTGAGAGAGGCAAAAGGGGTGCTATGTGGTCCCAGAATCTGTTACCTTTCTGGAAGGATAGAGAAGGGCTGAAGGAAGGAGCTGTAGAACGAGTCCGAAACAAGAAAACTCAGTGCGGAGTCCCGGATACCATCACTGCCGCTCGCATCAACCGGCTCGCCTGACTAGTCATACGCACTCTCTCCCTCCCGTGGGACCCAGTGCAACAACAGCTCATTGGGCCTCCCAGGTCCAGTTCTGTGGCAACCAGACCACAGGATGAATAGCGTCTAGGATATATTTTCAGCAGTATATTAAAAACAAAGCAAAAATGTAAAAACTGGCTACTAAATAAACTACAAATAGTTTATTTCTTCTTGGCTCCGCAGGACAAAACGTTGCAGTACGAAGCGGGGTTTTGCGATCCCCCATTCACACACTGGGTGCTCACTTTGGGTGGGAGAAGCTAAGCTGCCCTCCTTGCTCTTGTGTAAGGTGGCCTAACCCAGCGGCTCCCGCAGAGTCTGGCTGGCGTTTGGAGGGGGCTTCCCGTCAAGTCGGCTGAAGCTGTAACCATCCAGCACGTCTTCCTGTGGGACACCGTCCAGACAGGGGTCCTTGTCCGCTCTGCTGTGGTCCCAGAGGTCGGTTCTCTCCAGTGTGGCCTGAAGCAGCTCTCGGATTCTTCGGTTTTCCTTGGAGGTAGATTCCCAAACAACTTCAAGCTCCCCTTCCATTTCTCTGAGAGGAAATCAACAAAGCAAAGGAAAAGTAAGAAGTAGCACAATTTAAAAACTATTTATCAGAGCAGAGAAGAGTCTCAGGCTGAGGGAACGGAAGAAAAACTTCAAACCTCGACTTGCAGTAGTAAAGGATCTTATGGGCAAAATACTGGATGATACAGAAAACCTCAAAAGAAGATGGAAGAAGTACAAAGTCACTGTACCAAAAAGAAATGGTTGATGTTCAACCATTTCAAGAGGCAACATATGATCAAGAGCCAATGAACCTGAAGGAAGAAGTCCAAGGTGCATTGAAGGAATTGGCAAAGAACAAGGCACCAGGAATGGATGGAACACAAATTGAAAGCTTTCAACAAACTGATGTAGCACAGGAGGCACTCATTCATCTCTGCCAAGAAATTTGGAAGACCTGGCCAACTGACTGGAAGAGATCTGTATTTGTGCCTATTCCAAAGAGAGGTGACCCAACGGAATGCGGAAATCATTGGACAATATCACTGCTATCCCACGCGAGGCAAGTTTTACTAAAGGTAATACAGAAACGGCTGCAAGCATACATTGACAGAGAACTTTCCAGAGGTTCAAGGAGGACGCAGAAGAGGCCGTGGAACAAGGAATATTATTGCTAATGTCAGGTGGATCTTGGTTGAAAGCATAGAATACCAGAATGATGTTTACCTGTGCTTTATTGACTACTCAAAGGCTTTCGATTATGTGGATCATGACAAGCTACAGACAGCATTGTTAAGTATGAGTACTCAGGAACACTTAATTGTGCTCTTGAGGAACTGCCAAGAGGCAGTTGTTCGAACAGAACAAGGGAACAGTGAATGGTTTAAAATTAGGAAAGGTGTATGCCAGGGTTATATTCTTTCATGTTTATTCAATCTGTATGCTGAGTCAATAATCCAACAAGCTGGATTATATGAAGAAAAATGTGGAATCAGGATTGGAGGAAGACTCATTAACAATCTGCGATATGCAGATGATACAACCTTGCTCACTGAAAGCAAAGAGGACTTATAACACTGCATTACTTTATATTGCATTTCAATATAAAGAAAACACAAATCCTCACTATCGGACCAATAAACAACATCCATATAAATGGAGAAAAGATTGAAGTTATCAAAGACTTAATTTTGCTCGGATCAGCCATCAACATTCATTGGAAGTCAAGAAATCAAATGACGTCCTGCACTGGACAAATCTGCTGCACAAGACCTCTTTAAACTGTTCAACAGCAGAGATGTCAGCTTGAGGACTAGGGTGCATCTGACCCAAGCCATGGTATTTTCAATAACCTCATATGCCTGTGAAAGTTGGACAGTGAATAAGCAAGATCGTAGAAGAATTGGTGCATTTGAGTTATGGTGTTGGAGGAGAATATTGAAAGTACCATGGACTGCCAGAAGAACCAACAGATCTGTGTTGGAAGAAGTGCAGCCAGAGTGCTCCTTGGAGGCCAGGATGGCCAAACTTCGTCTCTCATACTTTGGACATATTGTCAGGAGGGACCAGTCACTGGAGAAGGCTATCATGTTTTGTAAAGTTGAGGGTCACAGAAAAAGAGGAAGCCCCCCAAAGAGATGGATTGGCACAGTGGTGGCAGCGATAGGCTCAGGCGTAGCAACAATAGTGAGGTAGGCCCAGGACCCGGCAGTGTTTCGTTCTGTTGTACATAGGGTTCCTATGAGTTGGTACCGACTCGATGGCACCTAACAACAACAAGATACTGAAATTAGCAAAAACCCCAAGGAAAGAATATTTAGCATTCTAGTACAGAGCTGTGCTTGAGTTCTGAAGCAAAAACATTCTGAATTAAGTGGAATATCAAAGTTTGCTGGATATTAAATAAATAATAATACAAAGGCACAGTTGCAAAACTATTTCTTACTTCCTCTATCTTCTGTCTTGTCTGTTTTTTTGGTAAGAAAGCTCATAGTCTTTGTTTTCATGTTACTTGATAATAAGACCAATAATTGGGTGTGGACCCCAGCCAGTCAGACGCTCCTGTACAATGGCCTGGCTGCAGGTACCCGGTCAGCACGGAGCCTGGAGGCCCTCTCCCATGTCCCCTTAGCCTGCATTAACTGACCTGCCAACAATCTGAGACTTTTGGAAGGTGCCCATCTACATGGGCTGATGGGCCAGACATCAGGGCGAGTTAGGGTACAGGGCAGGTGTCTTTGGGGAATGGGAAATGGTGCTTATACAACAGAGAAGAGCAGCCTAGGCCACATGCCAGCTGAGTGTATCACAGAGTCTGAATCTACACTACTCCTCACAATCAGGAATGCTAAGTCCTGCCTAAAGTGAACCAAGAGTAAAAACACACTGTTGAGTCAGAGGAAAAAATGTAATGGATGGGTTAAATAGCACACTGGACTCAGCAGAAGCTAAGGCGCCCAGGGTGGTGGGGGTGGGTGGGTGCTGTTTAGGTGTTGGGTTGCTAACTGCAAGGTCAGTGTTTTAACACCATAAAAACAGATGCTATTAAAGAGGCGCTGTGAAACGATGGCATTCTATTTTTCTTTTAATCTTTTAAATATTTTAAAAATCACTACCATTGTGGCGCTATGCTTGGGTTAATGTGCTTGACTGCAAAGTCGGTTTGAATCACAAGGTTGGCAGTTCAAGCTCACCCAGTTGCCTCTCAGAAACCCTATGCAGGGTCGCTATGGGTTGGAACCAACTCAACGGCACATAACAACAATAAAAAAAAAAATACATTAGAAGCCCTGGTAGCATAGTGGATTATGAGCTGGGTTGCTAACTGCGAGGTCAATAGTTCAAATCTACCACTTGCTCCACGGGAGAAAGATGAGCATTTTTGCTCCCATAAAGATGTACAGCTTCGGAAACCCCATGGTGGTGGTGGTGGTTGGATGCCATCAAATTGCTTCCAACTCATAGCAACCCTTGTATAGGGTTTTCAAGGCTGTAAATATTGATGTCTAGGATTAATAGCAAAGTTCAACGAAACAGAAAACAACAAATTCTGGAGAGGGGGTAGAGAGACTGGGATCCTCCTACATTGCTGGTGGGACTGTAAGATGGTTCGACCACTCTGGAAAATGGTATGACACATCCTTAGAAAGTTGGAATTAGAAATACCATATGACCCACTAACCCCACATGAGCCGGGGCACGAGTAGACAGATAATACCCACACTGAGGGTCACTGTAGCACAATTCACAACAGGAAAAAGACAGAGGCAGCCTAAATGCCCATCAGTGGAAGGATGGATAAACAAACTTTGTACATACACACAATGGAATACTATGTAACGCTGAAGAATTTAACAGTAAGTCTGTGAAACACCTCATAACGTGAATAAACATGGGAGACATGCTGAGTGAAAATAGTTCATTACAAAAGGACAAATACTGTATGAGACCGCTATTGTAAGGGGAATGCAGATGATAAACAACAGACTGCAAACCACAAAGTCTGTGGTTCGAGCCCACCATCTATCTGCTCCTCAGGAGCAAGATGAGGCTTTCTGTTCCCTCCAAGATTTACAAGCTTGGAAACCCTACACAGGGTCGCTATGTCAGAACCAACTAGACAGTACATAACTATTGTAAGAACTCAAGAAAAGGTTCTCATACTGAAAGAAAGATTCTTTGATGGTTACCTGGGGTAGAAGGGCAGGGAGAGCGATTCCCTGGCTGGAGGGTAGACACATGTTAACTCAGGTGATGAGGAGGCCAGTATACAGGAAGAGGGAGGCTGACACAGAAAGGTGAAGACACAGGGAGGTATGCAAGGGTTGAAGGGGAGAGAGGTAAACAGTGTTATATACACAACCGTGGAACAACAGGCTGATGGATGTGGGAGTATACCCACACATATACAAGAGTTAGAAAGAAGCTACTTGTACATGGGTATTTACCTATTCTGCAACCACAACTATGAATGTGGTGGAGCATACAGTGGGCAAAATGATGAGAACTTCTTAGATATTACCAAACATCTTAAGACAATGAGTTGCTGGGTCTGGGGGCACAGGACCAAAGTCTCAGGAGACACTATGGCCAAATGGTGGACCATGTTCTGCATCCTACTTTGGTGCGTAGCGCCTGGGATCTTAAAAGCTGGTCTCTCCATGTGCGGAAGGAAAAAGAATGCTGACAAGTGAGGCTGTTTAGGATCTGTTGGTCCAATGGACTAATGGAACACATCAACATCATCAGTCTCCAAGACTCTGAGACCAGAAGAAATAGATAGGACTTGGTTATCACTACTGATGGCTCTGAAAGGAAGCACACTAGAAAGTCCCAGTGGAAGAAAATGTGGAACAAAATTCAAAATTATTAATAATAATAAAAAAGACTGGGCTTACTGGTCAGAAAGAGACTTGAGGAATTTGAGATTATGGTCCTGTATCACCCTTTAGGTCTGGACAAAAGCTCACCCTTGGGATTTTCAGTCAGTGAAATGATAGGTCCATAGGAGGGACAACACTAGTAAGCAATGCCTACCAGGAAATGGTCAGTCATTCAAGATCGAAGGGCAGCACGGACCTAAGGACAGTATTACGTAAATTGAGAAGGGATGGGAAGGTGGGTGGAATGGAATTAGGAAGCAGAGGGAGGAAGCTGGATAGCTGTTGTTGCAGGAAGGGGATTGGAATCACTGAGATGAAACAAAGTGTATGATTTGTTGAATGTAAAACTGCTGATCTTGTCTGTGTAAATCTTCACTCAATTCAAAATTAAAAAGTAAAAAAAAAAAAAAAGTTATTGGCTAGGTAACAGATTGAACAGATCTGAAGAGAGAGTCAGTGAGCAGGAACACTGAAAGAGAAATTCCCCAGAATGCAGATCAGAGACACAGAGATGAACAAGTGGGATTGATGTTAGAAATGCAGGGATGCGTCAACATAAACAATAACTATGCAAAAAACAACAAAAAACTAATACCATTTAATTTCTGAGGCTGAAGTAATGATATATAAAACAGATTTCTGTTTTCCACTTTCACCCTATCTAATAAGAATAGACAGGCGGAGTCCTGGTGTGGTGCTGTAGGATAAGCAAGCACTGGACTGCTAGCAACAAGGGCAGTGGTGCAATTCCAGCACTCTCATCTGTCAAGAAGTTTTCTAGTACTCCAACTTTTAACAAAGTAATTATGGTGGTTAACAAATGTTTGTGACACCTGATGTCATGTTAGATAAACATCTGTTTCACTACTGACCTTTTAATGTTCTCTTCAATGGCTTTGTTTGATCTTCAAATAGTTTACTGATGTTATACAAATTATAATTAAATTTTTATATAGCAACTTGCTAGCATTACTTATTAAATTAGATGGTGTATCTACTGATAAAATTATACCATCTAAAAAATCACGTATGATTCCAGCTCTTAACAGCTTTTGTTCATTCTAATTTTTGCTTTCGTTTTCTCTTTATTACTGGTTAGGACCGCTGGTACAATGCTGAATGTTGTTGTTGTTAAGTGCTGTGGAGTCAGTTCCAACCTACAGCGTTTAAGAGAAGCAGTTGGTGGGTTTGAACTGTCAACCTTGTGGTTCAAACAGACCTTGTGGTCCAGTGCATTACCCCGCAGCACCACACCAGGACTCCACACAGTGATGGACAGAAGTGATGGTGGTTATGTGCCGTGGAGTCAGTTCCAACTCATAGTGACCCTATACAGGGTTTCCAAGGCTGTAAATCTTTACAGGTGCAGAAAGCCTCATTTTCCTCCTGATGAACAGCTGACAGAAGACAATGATAAGCCTTCTTGTCTTGTTCCTAGTGGGGAGATTTCAATGTTGCATATTACAGATGACATGGCTGTTGGTTTAAAGAAGTTAAAAAGAATGTGTTTCACCTTGCATGAAGAAGCAACTGATTGATGGAAAACAGAGACAGCTGCATTCTGATGATATCAAACATAAGGATCTTATTTAATCTATGAGGAGCTCTGGTAGCTTAGTGGCTATGAGTCGGGCTGTTAATCTCAAGGTCTCAGCAGTTCAAAATTTTCCATTGGTGAAAGATGAGGCTTTCTGCTCCCATAAAGATTTACAGCCTCAGAAACCCTATCTATACAGGGTCGCTACGTGTCGGAACCGACCCCACAGCACACCACCACCACCGCCATTTAATCTATATATCTGTACTAATAAAGCCACTCCATGTGGGTTTGGGTTTATTACTATTACTTTCATCTTGACAACACTTTAGTAGTGATTTCATGTAAGTAACTGGAATCATACTAATGTACCGCCTAGTGAGGCTTCAAAAATATTTTAGAGCATGGTGGTCTATCATTTATCTACACGAGCCTCCTTTTGTCTGGTTAATTTTTCTATTAACATTTTTATTTTGAGATAACTGAACTCACACAAAATTGCAAGAAACACTGTATGGAGGTTCTGGGTGCCTTTGCCTTCATGGTCCTTCATGGTAACAACATGCAACACACAGTCCTACAGTTGTCCTACAGTTGTGCCATCGTACCCTAACAATGCTTCCTCTAGCATATGTTTAAAGAATAAAGATGTAACGGATATAACACCATCTGTCCACAGAGAAGACGCTGTGCCTATGATTGTGTCATTAGGGTCTTATAGAAAAAGAATGACAATGAGTTAAACACAGAAGTCTTGGAAATAAAAAAATAACAGCATAAATAAAAAGCATGTAATGGAAATTGAATAAAATCTCCAAGAAAAATGAATAAAATAAATCAATCAGAGAGCTGGCAAAGGGGAAGACAATTGGAGGACTGAATTGTTTAAGAAGTTCAACATGGAAACAATACATAGAAAGTGAAAATCAAACCTGGATAAACAAACAAATAAAGAAGGAGTCAGGGAAACCCAACAGACCTCTAGCAGTCAGGATAGAGCACTGGGACAGCTTAGATGTTACTGTTGGCCTGGCTCAGACCTGTTTTGCTGCAAAGCCTCGTCCAGGACTTCCTGCTTGTCCTGCAGCATGCGGCGGAGGTGCCTCATCTCCTGCTGGCACTGGGCTGTCCTGCCAGCGAAGTCTTTCTGCTGCTCCATCAGACGGTGACTCATGTCACCCAGCTTCAGTGCCGCCTGCTGCTTGTAGCCCTGGGGAAGAGGGTATTGAGAGAGAGAGAGGAGACGCTGCTCGTAGCCTCGGCTGGTGACGCAGCCGCAGCCCCAACCTCCCACCACCCCTTCCATTTTTACTCGCTGTGGGTTAATGTGCTGGACTGCAGGTCAGTCGGTTTGAACCACAACGCTGGCGGTTCAAGCTCACTAGTCACTCCACGGAAGCCCTATACAGGGTTGCTATGAGTTGGAACCCCCTCTACGGCACTTACCACCACCTTAGGAGCCCTGGAGAGAGATAAGACTTTCTGCTCCTGTAAAGATTTACAGTCATGGTGTGGCACTGTGAGATAAAGCACTGGACCGCAGGTCAGTTTGAATCACAAGGTCAGCGGTTCAAACTCACCAACTGCTCCTACACAGGAAACCCTACACAGGGTCTTTATGAATCAGAACCGACTTGATGGCACATAACAACAAACATTTACAGGTGAGGACACCCTATACAGTAGGAGTTGGGACCTACTCCAAGGCACTCAACCACCTTGATGGCCCTGGTGATACAAGTGGCTAAGTGATTGGCTGCTAACCTACTACCCAAGAGGTTGGCAGTAAAAACCCACCCAGAGGTATCTCAGAAGAAAGGCCTGGTGGTCTGCTCTGAAAAGTCACAGCCTTGAACACCCTAAGGCGCAGCTCTGCTCTGCAACACATGGCTTCATCATGACCCGGAATCGACCTAATAACAGCCAGCTTGCTTCTTCTTCTTTTTTCATACCCACAGCTTGGATTGTCAGAACCCAGGAAGTCAAGTACATCTGGGAGAACCATTTTGGATCATAAAAGTCATTATAAAAGTTTGGGCTGCAATCAATCTAAATGTCTAGTTTGTATAATGATGTAAAAAAAAAAAAAAAAAAGCTTCTAACAAAATAAAACCAAACTAGGACCATCGCAGAATTCTGGTGTGGCACTGTGGGTCAATACGCTGAACTGCAGTCAGTTTGAACTGCAAGGTCAGAGGTTCAAGCTCACCAACTGCTCCTCAGAATCCATACAGGGGTGCTACGGGTCAGAACCAACTCGATGGAAGTTAGCAACACCAACAGCATCTCAGAACAAACAGAATGCTCTCTGCTTTTGCATTTTTCCCCAGGACCATTTTTATCTATTGGTCAGCTTGTAGCTTACAAACTAAGTCTAACACGTGTCAGGTGATGTTTTAAACTGACCAGAGAAGCCTGTATACAAGACCTCAATAAAGTTTTTCATTCTCCATGGTCAAACAGATGGAGATTAAAAGCCTAATTCATTTATTTCTCTTCTTTCATTTTCATGAATAAAAGTATTTAAGCATTTAAATATTTCCCTCTGAGCACGCCTAAAACTGTTGTTATAAATATTCTCATAGGTAATATTTTTCATTTTTTAGAAATTCTGAAATTCAGTATTATATTCCATCTTGCCATTGTTTGGTATAAAATTTTCACATTTCCAGGTGGAAGAAATGGAGTCCTGGTGTGGTACTGTAGGATAAGCACTGGACTTCTAACTGGAATGTTGGTGGTTCAAATCTACCAGCTGCTGCTTGGAAACTCTATACAGGGACTCTATGGGCTGGAACCAATCTGACAACACTTAACAACAACTGGGAAAAGAACCTGTTTATGCTCTGATTTCTCACAATTAACTTCTGGTTTTCATATTTATGATAAAAAAATCTGCATGATTCTACCTTAGGGATTTATTGAAAATTTCTTTATGACCAATTTACAACAAATTTTTTGTGGCTATTCTGTATCTAGCATAGTGGTTACGAATTGGGCTGCGAACCGCAAGGTCAGCAGTTCGAAACTACCAGCAGTTCCACGGGAGAAAGATGAGGCTTTCTGCTCCCGTAAAGATTTACAGCCTCGGAAACCCTGTACAGGTTCGCTGTGAGTCGGAATTGACTTCACGGCACACAGCCACCACACATACCATTCTGTATCTACACATAAAATATACCTTATTGATTATATTGTTAGACCTTTGATACTGTTACTTATGGGTTTTTTTGTTGTTGTTGCTTATGTTTTAAGCTCCTAATCTGTCTTGGACCAAGAGACATTGATTATTATTACTAATTTTTTTCTCCAAATGCGTGAAGTCAATTCCCACTCATGGTGACCCTATGTGTGTCTGTACTCCATAGGTTTTCAACAGCTGGTTTTTTGGAATTTGATTGCCAGGACTTTCTTCCAAGGCACCTCTGGGTAGATTCAAACCCCTCGCCTTTTTGTTATCAGCTGAGTGCATCCATTTGTGCCATCCTGAGACATGAATCCGAGTCAACTCGATGGGCAGGTGGTTTTACTCCTTACTGTTACTTTACTGTTAGATATTGTCAAGTCAGTTCTGACTCATAGAGGCTCAATGTACAACAGAACCAAACACTGTCCAGTCCTGCACCAACCTCAAAATCCTTGCAATGTTTAAGCCCATGGTTGTAGCCCCTGTGAAAATCCACCTGGTTGAGGTGGTCCTTTTTTGTCTTGTTGGCCCTCCACCAAGCATGATGTTCTCCTACAGGGAACAGTCCAAACTACACGAGATGAAGGTCTGCCACCCTCGTTTCTAAGACGCATGCTGACTGTCCTTCCATGAGCTACAGTATCATGAAGTGAGCTGTATCTCCAAAATACATGTCAGCTGGGCTAGGCTATGATTCTTAATGAATTGGCAGTTATATAGTGGTTCCACATGGTGTGATCTGAATAAAGCAACAAAAGACTATGGGTGGGATCAGGACTGACTGTGAGGGTCAGAAATACAGATGTTTTTTGACAAAAGGAGGGGAGTTATTGATTTTGAAGCCCAAGAGCCTAGGTCCCTGGGACCATTAACTGAGAAGAGAGCACAGAGCGGAACCCCACCCAGAGAGGCAGTGACATTGAACTCAGGGAGGGAGAAGGGCTGTGTGCTGACGGCCGGGGGCCGGGCCTGTGGGGTGTACCCTTTGGCTATCTGATGATGCATGGAGGGGATTGTAATCATTGCAATGAAATGAAATACAATAGGATGAATGTAAAACTGATGTTCTCTCATGTAAACCTCACAATAAAAAATTAAAAAAAAAAAGACTATGAGTAGGATACCACAGTCAAAACACATTGCCATCGAGTTGATTCTGACTCATAGTAATCTTATGTCGGGTTTACGAGGCTGTAAATTTAGACAGGCTGTATAGAAGACAGCTTTATGGTTCTCATACCTTACTGTTAGCTGTTCAGTTCTTATCCTTGTTGTTGTTGTAAGGTGCTGAGTCAGTACTGACTCATAGCAACCTTATGCACAGCAGAATGAAACACCGCCCAATCCTGGGCCAACCTACTGTTGCCACACTTGAGTCCATCAATGCTGCCACTTGCCCAATCCATCTTGCTGGGGGTCTTCCTCTTTTTCTCTGACCCTCCACCTTACCAAACATGATACCCTTCTCCAACGACTGGTCCCTCCTGACAGTATGTCCCAAGTATGAGAGACGAAGTTTGGCCATTTTGGCCTCCAAGGAACACTCTGGCTGCACTTCTTCCAAAAGGGATCTATTGGTTCTTTTGGCAGCCATGGCACTTTCAGTATTCTCCTCTAACACCCTAACTCAAAAGTATCAATTCTTCTACGGTCTTCCTTATTCACTGTCCAGCTTTCACATGCATATGAGGTTATTGAAAATACCATGGCTTGAGTCAGGTGCACCTTAGTCCTCAAGCTGACATCTTTGCTCTT